TTCCTGGAGATTGACTGATATACTTGAAGTATAGTTCCTTCAAGAATACAGGTAATTTTTTAATCCCCAATATTATTTGTCCAGCTCATCTTACTTCCAGAAAAACAGGGAAGGGAATATTACCACATTCAGGTATCTCTAGAGGTTCAAGTTTAGACTCAGAGGGATCTAGGAACTAATAAATCACCCGAACAACTTCAGAATGAGCTCTCTGGGAGCCAGGATCTGGCTAAGCAGTGAGTCATACGGAGTTTGTACACAGAGTGAATCGCCAACCCTCCAGCCACAAGCTGGCTTCCCGTTAGAGACATCTCCCCTTGGTGAGCTGTGGCATTTAATTGAGCCAGTCTGCTTTTAGAGATAATGCCTCTAACATCATGATTGCATTTCTTACTTTCATACCCTCTCCTTTGCAGTTCTTTGTAAAGGATATCTGGTTGTACTTAAAATACTGCATCAATCTTCTCATCTCTTCCTCCCTTCACTCTGTCTTTATCTCTCTCTTTTACACACACACACAGACACAGACACAGATACATTAAATGACCTTATATTGAGTTAACCAAATAGAATTACCCTCCCTCCTGCAGTGGTACCCACAGAAGAGAACAGCTCCTCTTCTAGGTGGATGGATTAGAAATACGAGAGTAGGTGAGATTTCCTGTCTAAAGTTGTCCCATGGGAGTGGGTCACCAAGAATGGCTGTATACTTAGGGGTAGGTAACAATGCTTTCTGAGTCCATTTTTGGTCTTTGGAAACACCAAACATAAGGTAAAAAATTCCTTCTCAAATAAAGAACGGATGCTCACTGTTATTTTTAATGTAAAATAGAAATTGGTATTTCATTTCTCTAATATTGCTTCTCAGAATAGGTATTTGGCCTCAGGTTGCACCCTAAACAATCAGACTCAAACCAGTGCATCCCAGCCTCTTCCCATGCCATGTCATGTTACTTGCATTGTTTTGGGATACACGGAGGGAGCGTCTGATGGCTGAAGAAGTCGCCAGGGCTGCACATGTGCAGTGCACTGGTGGTAAACAATGCCTCTGCAGGCTCTGGTACAGAGATCAAGCTCCGTGTAGCTGGAGAATGAAGGATGCTTGGCTTGGAAAAGTCACTGTGGACCCTGGCAGAGCACCAGGCAGGATATGGTATCACTAGGTAGTAAGCAAATCAGGAAATTTCTTGATTAATAGAGCAGAGAATAAGAAAGAGGGGGTGTCTCAATGACCATTTTTTTCTTTCTTATAATTAAACACAATTGTGCAAGCCATCTCTGTGTAAAAGTAATTTATTTTTACTACTGAAACTATTTCTTTGGTTATTTTACCTTATTTCTTAATTTACTTCTTTAAAATTCAGATGAACTCACACACACACACACACACTGATTGGAATTTTATTCTTGTAACCATAAGTTACTATAGATTCTACTATGTATTATAATAGTAAAATATTTCTGTTTGCATTAAAATTAAAATTATTTTAGTATAAACAGATTAAAATACCCTATAAACTTCCAATTTTTATGATTAATCATTAAACATAAATTTCACTTTTGTTTGAAATTTGTCTTATTAATTAGATAGGAGTATTTTGCTGAAAGGAATTAACTAAATGCCTAAACTGTTTAGAACTCTGAATAGTTTTATACTTTGGAGAAAGGAATCATATAAGATTTCAGATGAGTGAGAAATATTTTCATTTGTAAGCTGGGAGAAGGCTGGACTTTGAAAAGGCAAGATAAAAAAGGACCAAAACCATAGGTGCTCTCAGGCAATCATTTTCACAAAGAGACAGACATGGGAAGTGGAGGTACTGAAAATTAATCTTCTTAAAGCTGCTCTTGTCTTCCTAATCCTTGGTGAGTCTTTTCATATGAAAAAAAATAGGCATATTCTAAGTTGAATTTGACTGGCATGATGGACTCATTCAGTCATAGCTTGGGCAAACAAAACCAAGAGAAACAAGTAACTTTGGAAGTATGGGTGAGTTACTCCTGCCATTCAAACTGTGGACTGAAATAAACGCACAACCTAAAAGTTGAGTTACGTTTCATTCGGTGGACAATTCTGAGGATGCAGCCCGGGATGACAGCCTCTCAGATCACTGAGGGACTGCTCTGAAGAGGTAGGGGAGGGGCTAGGATATATAGGAGCTTTACAGCAAAGACCAGGTAGTTGGAACATTAAAAGATTGCTTGTTAACGAAAGAAAACCAGGCATCTCAAGTTAAAGAATTTAGCGCTTTTCTGTGTATGGGAAGAAGCAAACATTTGGGCTCAGTGAATTCATTCCTTTGACAAGCACCTAGCCACTTAGGGCCAGCATCCTGTCCTTTCTTATTCTGCGTCCCCCCAGAGGGCACCACTGTGAGTGGCTGCAGAGACCAGGCTGCAGACTTGTCTTCACTGGGGGGTGGCGGCAGCTGCTGATGACTTGATGGCTTCAGCATTCTCTGTTTACTGATATGGTTTGCAGTATTTTTCGTTCACACAATCATTGAATTTGTTCTTTCGACTACTGATTCTCAAACATGGCTATCCATTAGAACCACTGGGGAGCTTTAAAAATGCTGATTCCTGAATGTTACCCAGATGTTCTGAATAAATTGGTAGAGGGGTGCCTGGATATTGGGATGTTAACAACTTCATAGGTTTCAACGTGCAGTCAGATTTGAGGCAAAACTCACTTAGGGAAAGATGCAATGAAGCAAGAAACACGTTGCTCATTAAAAATATTTTGGGGTCAAATGTGTCAATGCTTTAAGGATTTCCCTCAAAATTGATAGAGTGTGGGAATGTCTGAATAAATGGTGAGGCTTTGTGTGGTAACTGCTTCAGAGCAATCTCAGAAACTAACTGGAGCCTACGAAGAAACATTACTTTTAAAAAACAGAGGAATTAATAAAATAATCTAGAAAATTGTAGATTAGGTGCAAAATCATAAATGCTGCACTCTTTCAGCATTTTAAAGGTTTTCATAGGTAACTTTGTTTCCATGTAATTTCTAAGTTTTTTAAATTTGGAATCCAAACTCCAGCTTCACATGCAGCTCCATTATATATAAACTTCATTTTTGTACCATTAATTTGCTGCTTAAATATTCCCCTTAATAGTAAGTACCTACCATAGTTAACGTTCTCGTTGATGCATTTATTTTCTTACTGAGCTGATTTGACATGTATGTTGCAACCACCACAATCCTGAAGTTACGTAAAATAGAAAACAAAAGAAACTAATGCACAGGTGGCCTTTGTTATTTTAAGTAAAATTTTATGATAGATTATCAATCAACCTCTTCCTCTGACCCCATTTTTCAGCAAGGGGTGGTCTGCTTAACTTTTCCATTGTGTGGTAGCCTTTTCATTATTCTCAACTAGCAGTCAAACCATGTCTTCACAGCTGGAATTGATATAAAAGACTGTGAGAACACATTGATATGTGCAAGCCCTGTAGAGAACCCTTAACTGAGAGTGTTCTTGAGTGAAACAGTTATTTACCAGGAGGGACAGCATGACATAATAACATTTTAGAAGCTCAGGCTTCTGCAATTTTACCTTGGCAAAGCACATGGAAATCTTAGCAATCTTTAAGAAACTACAGGTGTTATGTTTGTTTCTCTAAGCTTGAAACGTTAGGTTCATACTATAGACAAATGGATGTATCTGCCAGGATGGTTGCTCACTGGGCAGCATAGTTTGATGTTTAGGAATATGGGCTTTGCAGTCAGACAAATCTGATCACCCCCATACTATACCATGTGACCTCTGGGACCATAGCTCTAAGCCTGGGTTTTTTTCAATTGTTAATCAGGGATGATGGGATAGAATTTCATCATACTCTCAGTCAAAGACTATCGTAAGTTAATTCATGTTTTGCGCAAGTTAGAATATCTGATAAGGGCAGTCCTCAGCAGCAACAGATAAATACTTACAGCAGCAATAAATAAAATTAAAATATGAAGGAGTTCGAAGTGATGATCTTTCGAGGCTCCTTTCTTTGTTAATATTTTATGGTTCCATTTGGTGGGAAAATAAAGCCAGGGGCAAAAATAAATTTCAAATAGACTAACGTTGGGCTTAACGAGATTAGTCCTTTTGTTTTTCAGAGCTGGCAGAAATAAAAATAATTGCAATTTTTCAGAAGTGTTCATCAAGAACGCTACCCACCTGTATATGTTTCCAGAGAAGTTTGATTACAACTGGCTGTTCTTTAGGATACGTTGCTAAAAGCGAAACCTACTAGAATAAGATTTTGGGTGTCGCAAGTCCTTCAAGCACACTGACACATATTTATGGGGAAGGGGTTTATCTACATATAGTTTAGAATAAGTTATCTAATAAACTACTTAATGGTAACTCTTTGGGCAACAAAGTTCAAAGTGTGGTTAATTTTGAATTGGAAAGAAAAACATGTCTCCTTAATTTTTATGCAGATAAAATTGGATGCTTTCCCACAGTTCTGGTTAATTTCCTTAAGCATCCAGTCCTTACTCTGTAAGCCAGGGAAGGGACGCAGGAAAGTGAGTCGGTCACAGATCACTCTGATAATTTTTAAAACTGTTGGAATGTACACAAAAATGAAAAACGGGAATATAAATTTGCTTTTATTTATAAATTATGTATTTTTGTGCTGTGCTGCCATATTTATATGTGCATAGAAAATTTAGGGGCACCAAAACTACTGAAATATTACTGGTAGCTGTCTCAAGTGCTTTCTTTCAGATAATATTTAAGTTTAACCAACATTCTCGCATCGTTTCTAAAATCACAAAACAAAATAATGCTTAAGAGGTGTATTCTGAGAGCAAAGAACTCTTTCCCTGGGGCAAGAATGGCATGTCGTTGGAGAGCTAAGGTGTCCTTTTTCCCCACAAGGTAACACAATTCAAGGCTAGAAGATGCTAGTGATCACCTCCCCCAACACTGGCACAGGCCATAAAAATATCATTCTTGTTCTTCATCTCATAGCAAAATCTGCAACCTTCATCAGACTCAATGGCTGAAGTTAATGTCACTCATGTCACTGAATTCATTCTCAACGGAATTACAGACCGGCCAGAGCTTCAGGCCCCATGCTTTGTGGTGTTTTTAGTCATCTACCTGGTCACAGTGCTGGGCAACGTTGGACTGATTTCCTTGATCAGGATGGATGCTCGGCTCCACACACCGATGTACTACTTCCTCAGTCACTTAGCCTTTGTTGACCTTTGTTACTCCTCTGCTATCACGCCGAAGATGATGGTGAATTTTGTTGTGGAACACAACACGATTTCTTTCCACGCTTGTGCAATACAACTGTGCTGTTTTCTCACCTTCATGATCACAGAGTGTTTCCTTTTAGCCTCCATGGCCTATGATCGCTATGTGGCCATCTGCAGACCCCTGCATTACTCCACACTGATGTCAAAGAGGGTCTGCAGTCAACTAGTGGCGGTTCCATACGTATACAGCTTTCTGGTCGCCCTCTTCCACACCATTATCACCTTCTGCCTAACTTACTGTGGCCCCAATGTTATTAACCATTTCTACTGTGATGACCTCCCTCTCTTGGCTCTGTCCTGCTCAGACACACACGTGAAGGAAGTTCTGATCTTTGCTTTTGCTGGTTTTGATATGATCTGCTCCTCTTCCATTGTCCTCACCTCCTACATCTTTATCACTACCGCCATCCTGAAGATTCACTCTACCCAGGGGCGACACAAGGCCATTTCTACCTGTGGCTCCCACATGGTGGCTGTCACTCTTTTTTACGGCACGCTGATCTTCATGTACCTACAGCCCCAATCCAGCCACTCCCTGGACACAGACAAAATGGCATCCGTGTTCTACACAGTGGTGATCCCCATGCTGAACCCCCTAATCTACAGCCTCAGAAACAAAGAAGTGAAAGATGCCTCCAAGAAAGCCTTGGAGAAAGGTTGTGAAACTGTAAAGATGTTAAAATAAAGAAAATAATAGTAATAATAGTTTATTAAATACAAGAAGGTAAATGAATCAAGCTTTCTCTTTCTGACATTTCTTATAATTCTTTCCCAGTCAAATGGAAATGTGGCTTTGATAGGTTCTACCAGGTCCCTGGTCAATTCTGGAAAGTCAGTTTGATTCCAAGTCCTGTTCAGGCCACCATAGCCTTTAGAGACCAGTGAAATTATGTTCAAATAGAAACACAAACATGGTCTCAAATATACATACATGTATCCAAAGCAAGGGCATCACTGTGTTTTTGTTAGAACTCAGGACTCTGGAACCAAGACCGCCTAAATTTGAATTCTATCTTCTTCCTTTTTTGACGGTGCAGCTTTGGGCAATGAACCTGAACTCTGTGTGACTCTCTTTCCATTTTTGGAAAATAAGTAAGACCCAACTTATTGTTTGGTTTTAAAGACTAAACAGATTAATATTTATAAAACACTTATAGCAATATCCTGTGATAATAAGTGCTATGTAATTGTTTGCTATATAAGTGTTTGTTATATATAATTAAAAAATAATACATTGAGCTCTCAAAAATTTACGTCTTTAAGTAAGAAGGAAAAGCCTGATTAGGTTTCTACTACCTGCCGGGCACTTAATCACGTAGTGTTACTTGCAATAAAACAAACCTCAGAGTTGGGTAAGATTTCACCTCTGGGCTTCAATTTTTCATAAATTGTGTAAGGTCACATAATTAGTAATATGAAAATTCTAAATGCAAATGCAAGTCTTTCTGAATTTTGTTTTCTTAACCACTATGAGTATTATAGATTATCTGGACTTAAAAATGTCATTATTGGATTTTTTAAAATATAAGTGGAAGAACATGGTTTATAAGAAACTGTGTTTTAAAATAAATAATTGATGCATTTGCATATTTGTTCAAATAGGAATAACCTTTGTTTGTCATGTCATTTATTCAATCACCCTTGTAGGATCATGATATGAAAATATTAGTGATTTGACATGCTCTAATTATTTTGACATTTCATAAAAAATAGTTAAATTAGTGATTTAGTATTATCTTCTTATTTTACCATTTTAGAAGGAGATGCTGACAGTTACAGTCGCTATATAAAACGCTGTTTGAGGTTTGCAGTACAAGGGGGTTGTTTCTTCTTCTGAGATTAATTTGTAAATAACTCATTTATGCTTCCATGAGGTGCTTTTCAAATCTTGTGAACTGAATGAATTCTCAACTTTTTAAAGCAGGTTTGACAGAGAAGCATGGTGCTTCTGTTTACCACACGGTGTCTTGTGAGTGTATATTTGTATAGACAGGTGTCCCCACACATCCTCTCACATATCACGTATGGGGCCCACAGGCGCAGCATAGCCAGTCTCTCTTACAGGCAAAGGAGTTCAGACCTATAGAATCTTAATGCCTCACTGAGGAACACCACTTTTCTGGACTTTCATTTTATCTTTTTCCTTCATAATATTTATAACAGCAATGCTTAAACACTAATTGGATCGAAGTTTCCACGTCTTTACACAATTTTCAAAGCTAAGAAAAAAAGGGTGATTCACAAGATGTCATCCAAAAACTAGGTTTAAATTAATCTTTTAATTAGAAAATAATTTGAAAGATATGTGAGCCTGAATCTGGCACAACAAATGGGTCCTTCATGTTGTACTGGACGCTGGAGAAGAAAGTAAAGGGAAAAGGTGATCACGTTTGGGGCAGAGTTTCCCCACCTTCGTCATCTCTTCACTTACTTTGTTAAAACTGAGATTTAACAAAATTAAACTCAAATCTTGTGGGTTTTTTTTCTAGTTTTTAGCTACATGTTCATTAATAAATTACATAAACTGTTTTGGATCTCTTTATTTTTAAAATATCTATCTCAGTAGGTTGTTATAAAAATTAACTGAGACTGTCCATTTAAAGCATTTCATTCAGCACCAGACACACAGAAAGACATTCAATAGATGGCAGCTTTATTTTTACTTTGAAAACTTTGAAACTAAATAAATGCATAATTTATTAATGCAATTTTTACTAAATGTAACAAAAGCAGCTTAATTTTTTTCAAGAAAAAAATGCTTATTTTAATAGCAGAAAGGAAGGACTCAAAAATTCAGTTTAAAATATGATAAACAACAAGTTTATACTGTATAACACAGGGAGCTATATTCAATATCTTGTAGTAACTTATGGTGAAAAAGAATATGAAAACAAATATGTGTATGCTCATGTATGACTGAAGCATTGTGCTGTACACCAGAAATTGACACAACATTGTAAAACTGACTATACTTCAATAAAAATACATTAAAAATATGTTTATAAACACACAAAAAGAAATTAAAAAGAATTAAATTGCTTTAAAGACTACAATAAAATAACTTGTTAGCTTTTATATTTTCATTTTGTTGATTCTAAAATAAAGCATATAATGTTGTCAACTGTTTCTGAAAAAAAAAAAAAAACTACTACCTGAAACCAAATAAAAGAGATCATTGACACAATAGCAATGCTATAAATAATTAACGTTGCTCATTAGGTGTGAGTCAACATATACGAAGTGCTTGCCCTTTGCTAGCAGCTGTGTGATGCCTTTTCTATTTGTAAGCTTATTGAACCTTCACAATTAGTCCAAGACAAAGGGAATTATTACATCCTTCTGCTGATGAAAAAACTAAGAAACAGAACTGTGAACTAATTTACCCAAGATAACAGCTATTACTTGGAAAAGATAAAATTGCTAGCCAGACTGTGTGAATGAAGATCCACGTTCCTAATCACACACTTACATAGACCAGGCGATGAATTAAAATGGTGTGAAATGGCTCCAATGAACTAAACTGACACAGCGTTAAGTGTCACCGAGTGTTCAATGTCAGGCTGCCCTTGTAGCTGAGTTGCAGGAAGCGGAGTGCTAGGAAGATTGTCTAGAGTGTTAAAACCAAATATCCCTGCTCTTAAGCTTCAACATACTTTCAAGATTGTCTGTGCAGCACGCTTGAAACATAAGATGCCAGATGTTGATTTACCATTTCAGTACAACGCAGATTTCTCAATAGATGACACAGAATTCAGATAAAGCCTCTCTTTTCCAATACTGCTTCTTTAATGAGGAAGAGGGTGTTGTGGTCAAACAGGATTAAGATCTCTCTCTGTCTCTCTTTCTTTTTTTTCTCTCCCCTTTTATAATTCAGTAACTCATAATTTACAAAATGTGTTTCATGTGGAAATCACTAAGAATGAAACAGTGGGTGAGACATATTCTGAATGGATCTGAG